AGGTATTCATTAGCAGATGATGCCTGATTGAAAACTACTCTCTGAAGGCTATAGATATGCTCAAGTATAGAACCTTATAAAGATTAGCAAAGAGCTAGATGTTCCTTTTGAAGGGAAGCCTGTTTTCATCTCTTTGGTTATTCCAAATGAGGATGTTTTGCAGCCTAATTTTCATGTACATTACATGGTGATGACCAGGGAAGATAAATAATTTTAAATGGTATATGAGTGTGCTGGGTCTCTAATGGGCCAAAAGAGTTGGTTAAGTGACTTTTTTCATAAGCTAAATGAATATTGATCTGTTTCTTCTGAACTGCTAATTATAAATCAGGAAATGGTGATAAAAGGGTACAGAGAATTAGTAATAAGACTCCAGAAAAATTGGAAGTTAACTTCTAAGACGAGAGATGAAGCAGAGACCATGTCATGTGTCATGTGGTATCTGGAAGTTCGGCTCCAGAGTCCTCAGATTGGGTTTGACTCCTGGCACCACCATTTGAAGGCAAGTTACTTCCTTCTCTGAGCCTCAGTTTGTGATTATTGTAGTGTGATTCTTCGTAGTCCCAGTTATTAAATGGAACCTATCCCACAGGGCCATTGTGAGAGACGAGGAGATGACGTGACACACACAGATAATGTGAGTCACATTATCTCCTTGTCCTTAACGTTACGACATCAAGCATTCTCCATAAAGCCAGACTTATATATAAGAAGCATGGAATAAATACTGGCTATGATTGCTATCTTTAGGTAAAGATAATGAGTAATTCTGAAGACTCACTGAGAAGGGTTCCTAGTAACAAGTCAAAAATTTCATTTTTATGTTTCTGTGGGCCCAATTTCCTGCTTTAAAGCAGCTTTAATATTTATGACATTTGATTTCTTAAAGGCGGAGGTAAAGAAACATTCTGAGGAATGTAGAGAAAAGTTATCTCTTTTCATTCTTTTACTCCTGAGTACATATTTAATATTTTTAAATGGTCAGCTGCTAGATTTTTGTAGTGGTTAGTCTACAAAAAGCTACAGAATCCGTATTTGTGGCCAAGGGACTCAGGGAGGTAATCATGATCACTTTTCAGTGTTTAAAAGGTTACAAAGCCAGAAGACACAATTTTATTGCAATTTCCCCCTCAGGATATTTAATTTTTACACTCAAAATATAAATAAAATATTGTCATTTAATACCCCCAAATTATTGGTTTAAAACACTACTGTCCTACAGTAAGAAAGTTTGATAACCATCACATGAAAACAGATTAGGAATGGGAAAGAAAAACCATTCACTAGAGTAACACTATCTGTAGCGCTTCAGTAAAAGGGTTCATCAACATTCCCATTATAAACTCCATTTTTGCAAAGCTAACAATATTGCTGGTTCATATTCATTAGCCCTATACTTACACACAAAACAGCTTAGAACACATGTATGTTTCTAATAAGCTTTACTGTTCCTGAGGAACTAAGTGTTATAAACTTTAAGTGCTAGAAATTTAAAAATTCCTCCTCTGCAACAGTTACAAAATAAAAATAAAAACAAAACCCACAAAACACTGCTTATGGAAAAAAATTCTCTAGCATTTTCATGAGGGTTTTATAGACCCTAAGATAGGATGGCAGAAATACACACACACACACACACACACACACACACACAGTCTCACACACACTCTCTCTCACATACTATTGTTATTTAATATTCAGACTATCACTGATTTAGGATTACTCAGTTTCAGAAGGAATTAGTCGTATCAATCCCCACAGCTGAGTTGACTCTAATACTGATGCCTTTCCCCTAAATGAATGTTGGGATCTTTCCAGCCCTTCCCATGTCATGGCCATTCTCACCCCTGCTATCTCCCCCTTTTGTTGAAGTACTGACTGAGGATCTCTCTTATAATCCTTTGCTACTTTCTTCCAGCAAGTCAGGAAAAATGCACAGAAGTCTGGGCCACCAACCAGTCCCCACCCTCCTCCTCAAGATGCAAGAGCTTCAGTGTTAAAGGGGTTGGTGCTTAAAACCCAGAGCTGCTCAAGCTCTAGGAACCCAGGACTCAGGTCTAATAATAGCTATTATTATTATAGTTATATTTTAAATTATAGATTTGTGTGGGTTTTTCTGGCCTGTAGATGCTTATAACAGTGCTTGTTTTGGAAAATGTATCCTAGTTCCACAAATCAACTTCTAAATAAACTTCACAGCCCTTTTAAAATTGAGTACAGTTTCTTAATAAAAAATAGAGAATTACCATATGACTCAGTAATTCCAATTCTAGGTACATAACCCCCCAAACTGAAGAGATTCAAAGAGATGATTTGAGAACATGCTCATGGTAGCCAGAGGTGGAAACAACCCAAATGTCCATCAATGGATGAATGAATATACAAAATATGGTGTATATATAATATACAAAATATGGTGTATATATACAATGGAGTATTACTTAACCACAACAAGGAACAGGGCTTCTCTGATAGCTCAGTTGGTAAAGAATCGCCTGTAATGCAAGAGACCCCGGTTTGATTCCTGGTAGGGAAGATCCGCTGGAGAAGGGATAGGCTACCCACTCCAGTATTCTTGGGCTTCCCTTGTGGCTCAGCTGGTAAAGAATCTGCCTGCAATGTGGGAGACCTGAGTTCGATCCCTGGGTTGGGAAGATCCCCTGGAGAAGGGAAAGGCTACCCACTCCAGTATTCTGACCTGCAGAATTCCATGTCCATGGGATTGCAAAGAATCGGACACAACTGAATGACTTTCACTTTCACAACAAGGAATAAAGTAGTGGTATATTACAATACAGTTGAACCCTGAAAATATTATAGTAACTGAAAGAAGTCAGACACAAAAGGATAACTATAGTTTGATTTCAGTTATATGAAATATCTAGAATAAAACTAATTCAGAGAAACAGAAAGTTGGTTAGTGAGTCCCAGGGGACTGAGAGGAGGAAGTGAGGAATTAATAAGCACAGTTTCTGTTTAGGGTGATGAAAAACTCTGGAAATAGTGGTGGTGATTGCACAACACTGTGAATGTACTAGATGCTACAGAACTGTACATTTTAAAATGGTTAATTTTATATGTGAATTTCAAATCAATAAAATTAAAAACTGTATATAGTCAGCATCCACAAGTATATAAAAACTGAAATAGCCAATAAAGTATTTTTTTTTTCTATTAAAAAAAAGAGAGAGAGAAGACGAGAACTGTCTCAAGAACTAGAAAACCTAAAAATGGGTTTAGGCCCTAACTCAGCCATTAGTAATTAAGCCATCTTATATGAGCCATTTCCCCATCAGAGCCTCAGTTTTATCATGTAAAGTATATGATTATTATCTGCTCTGCTTAATTCTAAGGCTGAGATTCAGAAAGTAAATGAAAACTCTAACATATCAGAGAAAGGTGCTAACTTCTATAATAAATGAAAAGTTGGAAGCACTGGAACCTCCAAAAGGAAAGGATAAATATATGCTTTCCCTTTCTAACACCTTACCTTTTAATTAAGATGCTAACTAGGCTTTAGGCAAATCTTGGTGACCATTATTTGAGCTGGAGGAGGTTTTGTACAATCCAGGAGAATTCTTGTAGTTTATCACGCTGGGGAATCAAGTCTAGCAGCTTCAGTCTAGACCAAATTCTGTCCTGTGTAGCATAGAATATAAAACCCTGAAGAGATTCTAGAGTTGGTCTGTAGTCCATGACTTGTTTCAGATAATAAATGATTTATAGTTGGGACGAGGGCCACTACAAAACTTCACTGGTGATATGTGGGATGGGAAGGAGAACATGAGTCTGTTCTGGTTAGAACCCTCAATAAATCAGGTTTCAAGCATGGAAGAAGGAAATGAAACAGAATTTCTAGTCTTTTCTCTTGTGATACAAGGCTCTTTCAAGATTTTCATGAAAATCTAAAGTCTCCACAGAACACAGTTTGAAACCAATCTGGTCATACAAAACCAAAGGTCTCTTCATATTCTAGTGTGTTCTGATTTCACAAATGTAGGCAATTTTCAAATGTCCCACATAAATGCTTATTTCTGAAGGAGTTCTTTAATTGTAAATACATCTTTGGCAGATAGAGAAGAAATAGTTCAAGAAAGCTTTCCAACCCTAATCCACTAGTAATTTACTAATTTATTTAACATAAAATTAAAGCTATTAATTAGAGGAATAGATTTTCTACTTAGATTTTGACATTTTTAAACTTAACATAGTTTACTTTTAATTTGGTATGAATGATTTCATTTCCCATTTTTACCCCTTTGTAGGAGCAGCATTTTAAAGAAACATATGCATACGTACTTCTTAAAAATACACATACAGTTCTCCCTCCCCGCCGCCCCCAGCCCCAGTAGCTTACTGCACACTTAGATCTATTCAATCACCATTGGCAATCAGCATTAAATGCCAACCTACCCTCTGGTTAGGAGCTAACTTGCTGCTCCAAACCATTTTTTACAAACCTTCCTATATACCTTAATCCTTTCAAATGCAACTGTGACACAAAGTATTACAGACTTTTAAAAAGCTGTTCTCTTGAAAAAAAAAAAACTGCGGAGCACCAGTAACCAGATAGTATTCTCAAATTTCAGTGATCTAGTCCATGGAGCCGTCCCCTATGCATAGTGCTCTGTTTCATGCAGTACATGGCTGTAGCTGGCCAAATCTTTTTTTTTCCCAATGAATCAGTAGAACAGTGAAGATCTTACTTTTTTTTTAAGCAGTGGCATATCAATGAGGCACAGATGTGTATTCCAACTCTGCATGGATGAGCACACTGTTCAATAGTGCTGGCTCACACGGTATCAGGGCGAGTTATCACTTCCCATGAAGGCACTCTTATCACCAGGACCCAGAGAGGTGGCTGCAAATCGCACCCTTTTTATTTTCAAGGCAGTTCTGCTGAACATTCAGGCTTCAAAGATTCACACTTCCAAAACTCTATAAGAGTTTGTGAACGCTCAATTTGCCAAAACTGTTTACAGTGTAATTGGGCCCCGTACCTGTGTCCATGAGATAGCGAAGGCGCTTCTCCACCAGCGCGGCACGGGTGTCGATTTGCTTTTGCTCATTCTCTAGTGCTGCCAATTCTCCTACAACATACTGACTGGTGTCTTTGAACCCTTTCTGTTAACGAGAACAAACAGGAAGAAAAAAAAAATCACTTGTAAGTTGCATTTCTTCCTTTCTACAAACACTTAGTAAAGCACTTACCTAGAGAACCAAATACGCCTTTAGAATCACCCTTAGTACCAAAAATCAACGCCCTGTGATTCAAAACATTTTCATATGTATTATACATAGCAAAACTTTTGTAAATAGAGAAAACCTCAGCTGTTTAGTATTATATTTATAATTTAACACCCAGATTTAAAAAGTAAACACTAAGAAAAATTTCTCAGAGTCAGTTATTAAGCGTGGACAAAGATAGATAATTTTCCCCTTAGTGCTGTCAAAACAAACAATTATGACATCCTTAATTCAAAAGTATAATAAACAAAAATGGCGTTTAGCTAAGGAATTGATTCTTAAAGAATTTATCTGGAAAAAGATCAGATTTGTTCTTATAGAAATATAAAATTAAAAAGATACATTTCTTTTCACAGTGACTATACTTTTAAAAATATTTTTTAAAATGATGAAAGAGAAGTTTCTAATATCTTCAGTTTCCCCTCCAGCTGGCTTCTGTACTTTAACATGTCACTGTGTTGATGTATTACTAATTATTGTAGCTGCTAATTTTAACTTGACAGGTGGTTTCAAACCTTGCTACACTGGATCTAATGCTACCAGTACACTGATTTGGTTAATCTTCCATGTAACCAAATCTGGATTTTATTCTGAAATTTCACTTTTTATAACCATGCATGTTAAAAAAAATTATCCCTAGAAGTTCTATTTGAAGTAGCAGTTCTACTATAAAGTACCAGTAAACCTTAATTTTTATTTTCATATTACAATTTTAAATCATTAGGGGCAGGGTTATTTGTGGTATAGTACCAAACTGATTAATCACAGCTCCCTTTGGAATGTTTATCTTGTGACATTTCTAGGGGTAAGTTTCCTAAGTGGTTGACAAACACTGAAGAACTGCGTAAGTGATTACTCTCACCACTGCCACTACTACTATCAGCACTTATAACATTAATTCAGAGAAATAAATGTGAGCAACCTTCCTCTGTCAAATCCCTTCCCTACCTAGGAGCATATTAATCTCTAAGAAGCCATGAGGAATTATCTTTCCTTACCCCTTAAACAAGAAACTAAATCAGGAATTATGTTATTATGAGGATATTCTGGAAGTCTCATAATCAACAAACCTGTCTAACCACATGAACAACTTATTTATCTTTGGAACTAGTAAATATGAACTCAATTTAAACCAGCTTATTGTTAAACTGATTATGGTAGTTGACAAACTGAAGACTGAAATATTTTTAAAAAATCATGAAATTGATAAATCATATCTCAGGATAGACTGATCAAATAAGTCACTGTATTTTTTAAAGATTCATACAAAGTAGATATTCTCTCACCTCAATATGAAATAAAGCAAAAATTTTAAGAACAGAATAAATGCTAATAATAACTTTAAAATTCAGTGGATGCTTTTGGCATCTATCTGCCAGAGACCAGAGCATTTTCAAAACGGACTTTTCTTTTCTCAATCCCATCCAGAGGGAAAAAACAAACACAGTAAGATATTAGAAAACAGAAGTGATAAGTAATACATAAACTTCACTGCTTCTACTTACCAGTTCAGTTAAAAATAGTCATTAAGTTTAGCCAGATTTACTTAGTGGGAGTATACAGTATACTCAAATATTCTGTAACTTATAAATTATACTAAATATTTCATCAGGATATACGAGGTACCTCTTCTATGTATTAAGACATTCTTTTAGTGAAATAACTTTAGGATGCGAATCTAAAAATGAGAAGTTTTTAGAGCTCTAAAATAGTTTGTAACTCTCAGTACATTTGCAAGGGTTTCAAAATCCCATAAAAACAATTTCAACAGTAAAAACAATGAAAATATTTACACAAACTGGAGATAATAATAATTTTAAAAAGTAGCACCATTAAAGACAGCAATGCTTCTAGACAAAAATTCAAGTTAAAACTTGTTCTTCCTGCTTCTGTCCCGCAGCTGTCCATCAAAAGCAGCTTTCTCCCTGCGGTCTATCAAATATTTCCCTCACAAATCAATTTTACACATGATCAGCCCATACCCCTACTGAGCTGAACCTCCCCGTTAATTAAGTGAAGAAATTACCATATATATTATATTAATGCAAACATCATTCAGCTAGTAATTCACGGCTGATCTGGATAATGGAAAGGTTGAACACCCATTAACCCAAGCCAACAAAATGGGTTGGCTGAGAAATTCTAGCAGGTCTCATGTGACTTTTCCCTCTAACTGCAGCTCTGCGGTATCTGCTATTGTAATAATTAAAATCCTCCTGGTAGATCAATACTGGAATCTCTTTATGGGAAGTGCCCTGATGGAAATGTCTCAAGGAAGCTGGGGCTGTGGAACTCTGAAAAATTCATTTTTTTTTATCTGACAATTATCACCACACTGCAGACTAATTCAACAGTGCACCCCTCTCACTCTGCTTTGAATGCACTGGAGATTGACATCTTAAAAAACCTAACATCTCATTTTAACAAATAAAGGCACTATTTCCACATACAGTTTGGAATTATCAGCAATCATGAAACCACACAAAAAATTAATATACATTAAGCACTTCATCTTCTGATGGCTTCCTCTGAGTTTCAGTTATCGCTGCCTTCTCCTCATTTCCTTTCTTTGTATCTTCCTGTATTGATCTCTGCCTTTTCATCTCTTAAAAAAAAGGGAAAGACATGTAAAATTATTATAAAGCTTGATAGTTGTGTATTAAAATGTGGATTTACATTATCAGCATACACACACACACACACACACACACAGCTAAATACTGTTAAATTGTAAGATGGGAAAACATCTAAAAAAGTGTTCTTACCTGGTCTATTGTCAACATATTGACTGAAAGACTGAAGTTGAGTCTTTCTGACTGTAGCATCCTTGCTAAACACAACAGGATTTCTAAACCGTTCTGTTGCTTTTTGTAACCGCTCAGTCCTGAGATCCTCTGTGCCATTCTAAAAGTAAAACAAATGTGTTAAGAGAGTCCTGATCTTATAAATGTGAGATTACACATTAGTAAACAACTTTTACTGATTTAAGATAATGTCAATTTAGAAATATACTGAAAGAAAAAAGGATTGTAAAGAGTTCTAAATAGCTCAACTGCAAAGTCTGTTGCCTGTAACCAAAACCTTTGGGAGACAGGGTTTAAATAGAGAATCATTCTTGATAACTTTGATTCATTAGATACTGTAAACGTCCCTGTCTTCTCCTGATGATATGTATCATTTAAATGCCACATTGCCTCTGTCTACCCGCACCCACCCCACAGCCTCACTATTCTGCCCCATTGGTTTGTACAGTCCCACAGACTTGTATGACAAGAAGAACTAGTTTCTAATTTTATGCCCATTGAGATAAACCACTAATGCTGGATGAAGGCTAAAAGGTAGGATTATAATACTACCCCACTGAACTGCATTTCATCAGCTATAACTTTCCAAAGCCAGATTTGTAAGTAAGCCCTTTACAGCTAAGGAAACTACAATTATCTTTTCCAGAGCTTCCTATGTTAATACTGGTAACAAATTCAAATGGTTCTATCAACAAGAAATATCCCAGAAGACTGAACCACTGCAGTGTGTGGAAGCTGCAGATACCGAGGTGCTGTGTACCAAACAAATATTTCATTTTATACCTAATCTTTTATTATTTTTATTAAGTGTTTTGAAAGTAAATAGGGAAAGGCTAAGATGCATGACTAATAGCTAAGCCTGCTGAATGCTGAAACTGGTTATCAAAAGCTACCAAGACTTTGCCCTTCCTCTGCATTGAGACAATCAGTAATGAGGGAGTCCTCCAATGGCCTATTCTCTAGCCTCAAGGAGGCCTGGGATACAGAATCCTCAAGGGAAGGTAACAGTTTATCCTTTTCCACAAACACAAAATGCCTCATTTATAAACGTGTAAACTGCATTTTATTAAAAAAAAAAAAATAAAACCCCAAATCAATGCTGAAAGCTTCAAGGGAACAGATGGACTATATGTTCTTTATAAGCATCATTTAAAAAAATCTTAACTAAAAAGATCCATACAAAGACAAGCTGTTTAAAGCACACCTTTTGTTGGAATAGGTTTGAAAATAACTACATTTAAGGGCTTTTTGGAAAGCAAAACTAACTGCATCTATTTAGATAATTAAACCTTAAGAATGAAAATATGTTTCATTTTTTAAAGTTATATATTTATCATTAGTATCATGTTTATAATACACTACCTATGTAGCTAGGATAGAAACAATTATGGCTTTTATTTGTCTAAGAAAAGTGTGTGTTCTACTGTTGTATCATAATAACTGCCCAATAGTGTAAAACTCAAGTCTTTACCAAAATAAACAAACACAGCTAAATTTTCAGAGGCCTGGCAACATGCTAAAATATCAGTGTGATTAGCTAGCAAATCCCATCTTAAGAAACCTTTTTATGACTAGGGACTTCTGCCACTTTACAAATGTATTCCTCTAAACCCACTAATTCAGTTAGCCTTTTCAATCCATTGTATTATTCTTAGGCCAGCTTCATTCTGCATTAAATCCAGTGCAGAAAGCTAAATTGAACGCAAAAAATCAGACCTGATCCAGGCTTCCTTTTGTTCAAAGATAGAGACCAAAAGTCCTCTGGTGCTGCCACACACTTTCATCACCAATTTATAGAAACCGACAGTATAAGGGAAAAGCAATGAAAGTCATTGTTTTGGGACTTCAAAGCATCTGTGTCAGGGAAAGGAAATCCTTTCAGTCAGCAGGGCAGTCCCCACAGTCCGCAGGTGGGTGAAAAGTTATACAAGACTAGAAGTGCCCTAAAGCTAGAGAAATATTAATGATACAGTGGCAAGGAAAAGGGGGGACAGCTTGAGAGGGGATAATATAATACTACAAATCATCATCATTATCATCATCTTACAACGTGTCATTCTGGCTGAAACATTACACAAGGTAAGATTTATACTGGCACAAAGCATATGCATATCTTCAAGATTTATACTCAACCACACGCCATCTTCAGATATTAACTCATCTTAACAGGTCAGAGGCTGCAGATGGCAGAACAGGCTAGAATTCTCTCAACAACATTCTCATTAGCAAAATACAGACACATATAGAAGTCAAGAAGAGCTTTTACTTTTACTTACATATCAACTTAAAGTAGTAGTTTCTCTGAAAAACAGTAGATGCACACTGATTATCATACTGACATTCAATTCATCAGCTATTTAACAAAAATTCTTATACCTTAATCTTAATGTGAAGAATTTGGTAAGAAACTGACTTTAGGATTATAAAGTACCAGTGGAAATTCGAAGACACAGATACCAAGTCAAATATCTTAAGTAAGATTTACCTTAATGTCTTGCTCTGAACTTTCATTAACAGCTTTCTGAGCAGTGATGGAAAGTGAATTTGCCACCTGTGGCTGAGTGTCCAGGAGCTTCTTCAGCTTCAAGTCTGCCAACTTAGTGTCTTGTTCTGTTAAATATATAAATATTATGAATAACTGTGTGAACTACATTTAGATGTGTAGCTATCAATTCAAAGGACATCATAAAAATATTACTATATTTTAAAAAGAGACATTAGAGTTGTGAAATAACATATAAGACCAGATATATGCAGAACTCTGCATCTATATATCTACTATAAACAATATTACATACTATATAACTATGATCATTATACTGTAACTATAGTATAACTAAGTAGTCTTTAGGATATTGACTATATCCCTTTTTCAAAAATTGAGATATAATTGATATATAACATTGTGTAAGTTTAAGGTGTACAATGTGTTGATTTGATCATTCATATATTGCAATATGATTACCATCACAGCATTAGTCAACACTTCTACCAAGTCACAAAATTATCATTTCTTTTTTGTGGTGGGAATAAATAAAATCTAGTCTCTTCGCATATGTATGTGCTTTTCCCCAAAATCAGTCCCCATAAAGAATATAGTCAACATGCCTAAAGATCATTTAGTTATTCTATGGTTAATAGCAGCTATGCTTACCTTAAAATCTCAGCCCATATTTAATGCATATATTTATATTAGCAACTTTATAGAATGTATATAATAAAAGAAGGTATTACAAAGTGGGTATTTAAAAGAGGTAATGCATTTGATTCTAAATTATATTATTTTGTAATTTCAATTCTTCTAGTATATTAAATTTAGACATAAAATGCCACATTACGCTCTTAACATGATCTTAGACAGTCATGTATATACTGTTAGAATCCAATGTTTATATATACCTAGCACTGAAATAGGGTATATGTTCACAAATAACTTCTAATTAGAGGGCAGAAATAAAGATTACCGTATTTTGCAATGTATGAAATATGGATAGAAATTTAAAATAAAAAATGGCTCTAACTTTAAAAATAAATAATTTAAGATTATTTTTAGCAAGTAAATTAGTCTTTAATAAAATAGTTCAGAAGCAAATGGAAATAATTCCATTTAAAGAATTCACTCAAAGCAGCTCTTTAATAAAATGATTATAAAAGACGTGCTGACAATTTGGTGAATGATATTTTTCAGAAAGATTAATAAGTTTTCTAATTATAAGACTCTTAATAAATGCTATTATCATTACTTTCATGCAAATTGGCCAGTTTATATTGCCAGGCTTCTTTTTAAAACAATATCTGATGAACTATGGTCAAATCAAGATAAAGATTAAACAATTTATTATTAAAACATTATGACTTTTATGTACATATAAAAAAAGAATTTTGGGAAAAATAAAGCAAGGATAAAAATCATAATGTATGCTGTGTGTCTTCAGATTCCAGTTTGCATTCCTATTTCTTTTTTTTTCATTCCTATTTCTTATTGCCATGAAATAAACCATAGTCTGAATTGGAAATCTGTCCTATGTACATGCCAACACTTGGCATGCTTGAGAACTGTAAACAATGTATTAGTTAACTCCAAAAAACAGGAAGACTGAGGAGTGTTTTCTTTTTTGGTACACAAAAAAGTAGGAAGAGTGTTTTTAAAAAGGATAAGAGTCAAGCCTGTTAGGCCTTAATATTAGTCATCCTTTAAATACACTAAAATATCTCACAAAGTTGCCATAAAGAAAGCTAAGAAGTTCTCTTTACCTTACTCAAAAAGGGTTAATTTCTCCTGTCTTCATAATCTACTATTAAATCAGGAAATATGTACCACTGATTGTCACTGATTTTATACTTCCATGAATCGAACGTTAAGGCTTTAATTCTGAACTTACAGTGTGCCCTCAGCAGTAAAGAGATGATACTGATTTCTGAAAGACTTTGATGGTGGCTGTAGTGAGAGGGTGAGTAGGTATTTTAAACTGAAAGAAGTAAAAGGCAGTCCTAATTTTGGGTTAAAATTTTTAAAAATTTCCTTAAATATCAGCATTCTCCTGGATTTGAACAATTAAAAACATATTGCCCTGTATCTAGTAAAGTATTATTTAATACTAAGCCATGAAGGAACTACTGACAAGAGACACAGATTTTTGGAGGGGAGGGGGGCGCTGCTCTCCATAGTTAGGAAGACTCTGGTTGACTGTTTTTTGCAGAAATAACAGCATGATTTCAAACAGGGAAGAAGCAGAGCAGGTTAGCACTGCAGGGACAGGCCATGGCTGGGGAGAATCTCTCCCTCCCTACAGCTTTCCACAGGAAAAGACAAACATTAGGGATTTCACTTTCTTACCTGTAATTGCCAAAGACATTTTACTGCTATAAGAATCCAATTTAATAGCATTTATGGAACCCCTCATGTATACAAAGCTACCTGCTGCTGACTTATAAAGGTAATGCATATGGAACACTCATCTATTAAACCACAAGCAACTATCTTTATATTTTATGCAAGAACTCAGAAGTTCGATTGCAAATGTGATTACTGGTATGATATCTATTGATATAGAATAGGAGATTAATTTAATTGTAATCTATACAAGCAGTTTTCAAAGAGTTTTACTGTAATCATTAAACACATATAAAATAATTTATTAGTAGTAATATTTAAATACTTAAGGTAAGCACAAAATTTACAAAATAATATTTCTACTAAGACTACCAATTTCAAACCAAATCAGGAAATCTGATCCATGGTTTAGATTACAATTTGAAGCATTCCATATGCTTCATCTGTATCTTAGAACATCACAACAAAATATTTAGGCTGAGAAGGGAACCAATCATAGAATGTCTACAAATTGTCCCATAAAATACCAAAGTGAATCTTAGTAATAAGAGAAAAGCTAAAATTTGCCATTTCAATATTATTGCTAATTTTAACATTAAGCCTAAAACAAAATAATAACATAAAATTGATGGAAGGTGGAGTTAGCTAAATGATTTGTGAGGGCATAAGATGTAATAAAACTACCAAAAGAATTTACTATCATTATTGGTGAGATAATAATAAAAATGTAACAGAAGAGTTTGCCATGCAGTAGGACACAAAGTATTTATAATTTGAAATTACCGGGAGTATCAAGGTCACTTTCTAAGTTAGTAAGTTCATCTCCACCTCCTAAAACAAAGCCTTCAGGAATCTCCTCGTTAGTATTTATCTCAACATTATCATTTTCATCTGTAGGAACATGTAGCAATAATGTTAGTATATTATTAGTATATTATTTCTATTTTATATAGGAAAGAAAAATCAGTATTTTAATGACAGTTCAAATTCAGGTCTGACACAGACAAGCAAGTTAAGAAATCAGTTTTAAGTCAATTTTTCATTATTGGATTAACATTTATATTTTACATTTCTATGTCAAAGATGAATTGTCACATCAAAGCAGATGCAAAGATTTTGACAATTTGTCACATGCTGTCTCTGAATTATTGAGCTCATTGAGTCCCTATATTTTAAAATGTAATCTCCTGCTAATTTCTAACGACAGTAAATAAAAATAAAGTTGGTTCGATAAAAAAGTCATCAAATAAAAATGTCACCAAATAATATTTCTTAAATTTCACATTTTATTATTTATTAGATATAAGTATATAAAGAAACAAATCATTCTTTATAAACTTGTAGCTATTTTTAAATTGTCTGCATGAAGATTTAAATGCTTTTGTACTATTAATGAAATATGATCAAAAGCATTATAGACAAATTAAGAACAAACATTGAGATGAGAAAGGACAGTACCTTTATACAAAACAAAGTTCAGAAACAATTAAGTCAGTACATCATGGAAGACATAAAGCTGGGAAAACACTGTTATTATTCAAAATTAAGTACATGGGAATGAGGTAGCCTTATACTATTTTTTTTATATATTTAGCAAAATGTACTAGGTCATAATTAATTAATGATATCTTTTTAAAAGACTTATATTACATATTTTTCCTTTTTAAATCCTAATGATAAGCTGGTTAAGTAATTTTCAATATTACCTATTTAAAAAGGCATGGCAGTAGATTTGTATATTAGAAGCTAAGCTTTAAAGTCTGCTGTTGACAGACAATGTACCTTTTGGAGAAATATCTGTCTAGCCCTGGGAGTTGAAGAATATCCCTACTATTCTACAGTTTATTTTTCATAGGGCAACTTTTATTAATAATGAGATGTTCCAAAGGTTATTGCAATTGAGAAATTCTAAATTCTATAACTTTGGCTTAAACCTTCAATATTTGTCCTTTTCCCTGTACAGTGTGTGTTTGATTTTGGGCTTCCCAAGTAAATATTTACTGTGAGCATTAATATTAATAATAATAGTTTACATTTATTGAAGAGTTCCTAATGGAAGCCATTTAGAAGAATACAACAGAGAGAAAAAGAATAAGAAATGCCCCCAAGGGAAAATATTGCTAAATGCTTTCAAATCATTAAGGTATTATACTTGGCTATATTATTTAAGTACAATTAGTTGAGAGAGCTTTTCTAATCGACTGTGCTTAGTACAACTATTTGACTACTTTCATAAAAGTCAGCACCATCATCTTCATTGTCTCATATTCTTCTCTAAATAATTCTGCAGTAAAGGTAAATGAATGAACAAATATTTCCTGAGTATCAAGGAAGTGTTCAGAACACTTCCTCCTGTCAAAGAATTTACTACCAATAGATTTTAGAGTGTGGTATTTTGTTCCTGCAACCAGCCTCTATTGATATCTACTGTCCATAATTAATCTAGAGTGAAAGCACAAAATTCAGCATTCATTCCTTTACTTATCCAAGAAACTTCTATTGTATACTGAAACTGCAATTTACAAAACACTGCTAGATGTTGAAGAAATATCAAGTTTTATAAGATATCAAGTTTTATTAAGACATTTATTCCACCATAAAGTTATATATAAGTGAAAGTCACTCAGTCATGTCCAACTCTTTGCAACCCCATGGATTGTAGCCTGCTAGGTTCCTCTGTCCCTCGAATTATCCAGGCAAGAATACTGGACTAGGTAGCCATTCCCTCCTCCAGGGGATCTTCCCAACCCAGGGATTGAACACAGGTCTCCCGTATTGTGGGCAGAGTCTTTACCATCTGAGCCATCAGAAAAGCCCAAGAATACTGGAGTGGGTAGTCTATCCCTTCTCCAGGGATCGTCCCAATCCAGGGACCAAAAGTTATACATATAAATGACTATAATACCATGTAGGACAGTTAAGTGTTATGAAGTAAAAATAAGATACGTAGCCAATTCAAAGGATGAAAAGATTATTCTTTTGCCAGTAGCACAAGGAACTATTTTTTGGAAGCACTAACCTTTAAACTGAGTCTTCAGAAATGTACAGAATTTCAAAAAGTACAATTGAGGGAAGAGTTTTATAGGCATGACAGCAGGAAAGCGTAGATTATGTTCAAAGAATGGTGTAAAGTCCTATTTGGCTCAAGCACACTTAAAGTGAAATAATGGGAAGTAAGACTTAAAAGGTAAAAAGATTTTACTTTGTAGGAACAGACAGACACTGGTTTGCTGGTCAAACATGATTGGCAATGTGTTGTTTAAGTTAAGAAGAGTCTATATAAGCAGTTTTCTACCACAGTGTTTTATGGCAATCAGTTGTGAAATATGTATAATTACTACAGAAGCACTGAAGCTTATGTTTTTATGAATTAAAGTATCTCCAATATTTTCTTAAAATATTGCTCTTGCTTAAGTTCTGATATGCCTTCATATGTGAAAGAAAAAGTGGTTCAGGGATTGCACACAGGAGTATACTAGCCATGTGACATCACCCTTGGTTCGAGATCGCTGGGTAAGACGATGCACTCTAGAACAGAAAGGGCGGAGGCAGGAAATCCATGTTGGAGACTGTTATAACCTCCAGGCAAGTAGTATAGAGAGCTTAACCTACCATAAAATAATTGGGAGTGGGTATGACTTGAAAACCAACTGGATACTGGGTAGTTGGGAGGGATACTGATGAGAGGAAGAGTAAGACAGATGTCAACACTGACTCTCCAGACAGAGTGACTAGAAAGATGGCATTGTTATGAAAAGAAGCTAAGTCTGGAACAGTGGTTGGATCTGGGTACTTCAGGTCCTGGGGTTAGGCAGTGGGATAGTCATTACTGCTTTACACAGTGCCAGGATAATGTGAGATGTTAAACAGGTGCCATTCACTTTATTTCCTGGCTAAATGAAATCTCTAACCTTACTACCCCTCACCAGTAATGCTGAATAGGCTAACTCAAAGTTTATAAATGCATTGTTAATCTCAGATAAAAGGATTACTATTTGGGAAGGGGAAGAGTAAAACTTGATTTCCTCTAATGCTCAGGTTTTCTTAAGAATAGATTTCTACTTTCTTTCCATTCACTGACTTCATTTTACAATAAACACTTGAATTTTTTTCAACAGTTATTGTTACACATTTCTTAATACTTAGAAATACTCTAAATGAATTTTAGCAGAACTAAAGTACATGTGTGTCTGTGTGTGTGCTTAAAATATTACATATTAAATATATGATATCTATAAGATTACATATATCTTTAAGGCTAACCATTTAAAACCCACTAGATAAGCATGGCACAAAGTAAACTAGAGATACAATACACAATGGAAGGTAGTTTGCAAGTATGGCCTGTATGTAGGGAAAGGCAGACAGAGATTTATACACACATTGGAATGAGACAATGCATTCCAACTGACACTGTATAGCACTGTAAGCAAAATGGGGATCCCAATGGTATGATTAACAGCACAGAAATAAGGACAGTCTTATAAGACTTATCATTTATAAATAAATTGAATGAAAAGTGTGAATATAAGGTAGCAGTAAGGAAAAAAAAAGAATATCTGCACTTAAAAACAAAAGAAGTTGAGGCTACTGTTAAAAACATATTCACAAAAATGGTAGCTTAGAGGACACCTACGTTTACATGAAACTGTTTATTTCCAGAAAAAAATAATCTTATCTTTTCAGAATAAGATATCTCATTTGTATCATGATTTAAAAATTCTCACTGAAGGTCCCTGTAAAATTTATAACTTGTAAAGTTACCCTATAAAAATCAAAGAAACGACAGAGAACAATACAAATATATTATTAATGAAAGCTGAAAATAAAAATTACTGAAGGCCTGTAAGATTTTATTTTGGTTGAACAAATTTAGACAAATCTATTTACCATAACTGAAATAAGAATAATGCAGGCACACAGTCTCATGGATAAAATTTTTTAATTTTCATTTATCCATTTGAAATCCAAAAACAAAGTATACTATTCCATCTAAATCAAAGAGGGGCAAAAACATCTGCTTAATAGTTAAATGATCCCTTTAAAAAAAAGTTAAATGACTCTAACCTAACTCAAACCAAACCAATAAAATACAGAATAAAAGTAAATAGATATGACATAAAATATCATATATATGATATGATAGGTATCATAGATATGACACAAAATATACACAGATTTACGTATATATAAATATATAAAATCTATATAATATATACCATGTAATATATAACGGATATAATATAATCTTCAAACTAGGCTAACACCTTCCTTGCAAGTGCCCTTGGACCACTAATAAAAATGCAAAATTTGTTTGGACAAAATAAAAACTTTTTAATTCTCAAAGCAGAAATTCAGGCCATATTCTCTGACCACAATACCAAATAACTAAAAATGAAAATATCACACTTTGGCCCTAAACAACTGTACTTTGTCAAGTAAGATCAATATAATAAATGAACCCATTAGTTTGTTATCTAAAATGAGGAGTTTAAAAGGCTGTTACAGGTCTACAACTAAAAAATGAAGCAAAAATTGAAAAAACACATGTAGAATACTGCAATATCACCTGACTCTCTTCTAAGCCTTCAAATTATTTTAAGAGGAGAAAAAGTAAAAGCTAAGCTGTAACTCCTTGGACGGGTTCTGTTATTTCATAAGAATTAGGCTATTTATGGTTGAAATAGGATGCAAGTGGGATGCTTGGATACCTGACTTTAGAGACCTAAAATAACTTGCAAATATTTTCTGTGAACACCTGAGGCTCATGACACCTCACTTCAAACTTAGCAAGTTTCTTTTCCTCACTGAGGCTGGCTGCTGAGAGTGGAAAAAAGCAAGCATTTCAAGTAGGTTCAGGCAATGAGTCTGAGTATCAAGTTCAACACATCCCCTAGGCTGCACTTTCACCTTATTATTTCAGCTCTTGACTACTGCCTCTTCTTTGTTACTCTGGACCACCGCTTCCAAAAAATTTCCCTCTCTAGTCCATCATCTAGGCTGGTCCCTACACATTCCTCTCTCATTCTGCACCATTCCTTATTCAGATTTGGTAATTCCCATTAGACAGTGGAAGAGCGGATACTAATTTGTTAATTGTTTTTCCTGACTTATCAACCCCATAGGGTCATTTTCATTTAGGAATTAGACTCCTGTGAAATCAAGTGAATTTCTAATTTGCTATGTTAATTCCAGCAAACTATCGCATGGGGGCAATATCCAGCCTACCACCTTTCAGGGTGAATAACAGGCATGCCCATTAATTTACATATCGTTCAAATCTACAAGGGCAGAGTCAAGCAGTTAAGAAAGAGAACATATGGGCTGCAAAGCCTACAAAAATTTACTCTGGCCCTTGCTAGGAAGTTTGCCAAATCCTGGCCCAACACAATGGCTGGCACCACCAAACAGATAAATGTGTATGTATGAATGGTTGAACTCTAGGAAGGAATCTTACCCTTTCCCTTGACCTAAAGGTCTCTTCCATGCTGGCCTTGAAAGCTTCAGCTTAGGCTTTGATGCCAGAGCAGAGCTAGTCAGATCTATACACCTTTATGAAGACAGGCCAATATCCAGGTCAAGGAATAGGCCTGTACCACTTGAAAGTCAACTTTAGCTCTGATTAAGAGCCTCCCATCTGATATGTGGCCACTTCCAACATCCAAGGTATGGTATGGTCTATGAGAGAAGTGGGCCCTGATGACCTTGGTCTTCTTAGGGAAGACCAAGTCTTGACTCTTCAATAGGTTCTCATAAGTCATCTACTAAACCCTGTCCCATCTTCATTTCATCTGGCTTTTCCTTTTATAGTCTGTACTTCTTTGTTAGTTTCAGAGATCCAAGCCTCACTTGTTCTTTATTCACTTTGTTGACTGTTGAATGATGCCAAAATCAGGTCTTCACTTTCCCTAGTTACCAGGCTGGGAAGCTACCCATTTTGGGGGTTGTAACACTGACTAAGTCTCTCTACCTAGTCTAGTTCTGGCTAAGCCTCAACTGGGATTGGATTATAGAGATAAGACCAATTATATAGCTGACTCACCCCATACCCTTAATCAGAAAATTTTAATCCTTAGTCTTCCCAGAGTTCACAACTCATTTAGCATTGTTATCCGCTCTCTGTTAGGAAAAAAAAATTAAAAGAAACAGTGGATGCCTCTCTATTTTATGTTTACTCTTCTATGGGTTTACAATGTCACATGGAGATAGTATCAGTAGCTTTAGGACAGTCTATCTGGAGGGTCAAGAATATGAAGCTTTTTTTTTTTTTATCATTCTGAGATACAAGGAGGCAGAGACATCTAACGTTTACTTAGAATATCTGGAATTTCTATGATATCAAAGAAATGTCTTGTTACTAATAATAAATGAAAGCAAATTATAACAGCATTATATAAATGTAGCTGTGAGTGGTTACTGCCATTACTATAAAACTTTAGTAGTGAGTATAGAAACTGTAATAAAAATTCTGAATGACAGGAGTTGAAAAGGTAAGATGAAAGACTTAACTAAGAAACAAACATTCTGAGAATACCAGATGGACAGATACATAACTATTCGGGAAAGCAGCTTTCAAATATATGGGGATGGAAGGTAACATGCTATAGGCATTTGTTGGAACACTCTACAACAGTAAGATTTTACTATAAGGGATCAATTAGAAATAACAGCAGTAAGTTTCAGTTTACTACAAAGAAACTTATTATTGACCTAGAAATAGTTTCCTTTGTTTCAGTTCTCTAAGGTTTTATTCGAGTCCTCACTTGCCTACTCTCCAGAGTGATCTTAGCATTTAAGATTAACTCAGAACAAGTACCTGGCATGTTCTGGTAGATAAATAGGTCACGTACCCTTGAAATAAAAAAGCCCTTTTGAATATACTACTAAAATAAAAATGTAAAAAGTTTCAAGTTAAAAGTGCCCAAATTGAGCACTGAGAGGTAAAATTAAAATTCCCTTTAATTATATGTATATATAGTACTTGTTTCAACATCAAGCTTAGAAAAATTTCTGCAGATACTGAAAACGACCCTCTTCAAATAAGACGATTAAGAGAAATGCATATGGGCTTTATTAAAAATTCTTACATGTCACGTTATAGTGCTGGAAACATTGTTAAAGTTACTTTCCGAAGATCTGGTTCAAAGTAAAAATCTCTCATGCCAAAGCTCTCCACTAACAAGTCTTGTGATCCAGATGCTGAGGACTTGATTGCATTTTACTCATTCTAATACAATTAATGAGACATCATAGGGAATCACAAACTAAGGCCTGTCAGAGTTTTCTCCTAAATCATATTCTTGGTATTTCTTGAGTACTAATCATACTTAATCATAATCAAAGTACTTCCTGAGTTGTTAAAAATTAAGTCAAAGAGTTGATTTTGAAAATGGTCATAGTCATCTTCTGATTTACTATGTTTTCTTTAAGTTTTTAGCAACACACCAATAGGTTAGAAACTTTATGTATTTGATGCACAACATTTTGAAGTAAGAATAAAATGTCCCAAAAGGTCCATCGCGGATTTCTGGGTTGTCTGTAGAATATGATACAAGATTCTTAAACTCACCTCCAGATGCCTTTGACCTTTCTTTCAACTTTTCTGCAGCCATTTCACCATAGCTGGGAAGTTCTGACATCTTCACTCCAGATCGAGCTTCTGCTATTAGCTGACGAGCTCTCTCTCTCAGCTGCCGACGTCGCTCTTCATCTTGCTGCTAAGATATATTGAACAGTTGCCAACTCAGTAATTGACAGAAATGCAATTTCATTTTCAATCTGATCATCATGATAGTAACTGGTTTACAGCATGGTGCTTGGCCCACATTATAAATAGGATGCTCTATATCAGTTGGATGTCACACCATTTTTAAAAGACATCCAAGAATCAGATTTTTAAAAACATTTACAAATTATTGTATTAAAATGTCTGTTAAAAATTCAAAGTAGCCTTTCAAGAATGTTTGGCAATATAATTACTGAGAAAGTAGCAGGATCAACTATTAATAAAATGACTGGGCTTTTAGGAAATAAGTCACAATACTGAAAACAGAATTTCAATTAATACTTTTTTTCAAGATTAAAATTTAACTTGCACATTTCTAGTAAAGGCATACAGCACTGACTAAAGGAAATTTTTGATAGTAGAAAATGCTGCTACATCATGTTGATCAAATATAGAAAACAGTATTTTTAGGGGGCTACAGCAGGAACAGGATAGCACATTAGTTCCTCAGTTATTGTTGATAGTTTTAAAATCAGAATTAGGTACTGATGTACTACTATCCCCATTTCTACTCTCCCCCTAGACACACACTGAAAAGAAAAAGTAAAACCTAGTGTGGGTTTTAATAAATAACTAAATGACAGAGAAATAACTAAATAACAGAAATAACTAAAAATGACAGAGAATTAAATAAATTAGGTTTTGCCTCCTATTAATAGGTTATTATGAATTGCAAATAATCAATGTGAAATTGCTTTGTAAACTGCAAAGTATATGACATAAGGCATTATTATTATGACAAAACAAAGCCTGAAATAATCTGGCCCCAAAATATCTGTAGTTACCTTCTCTTAACCTCTTCCAATCTCTATAAAACCTCACATCTATTTATACAAGTTGTTTATATCATGTGGTTTCATGCATTCATGGACTTGAATATTATCATTTCATCTTCCTGGAAAGTTCTTCTCTCATCTATTTAACTCCTACTCATTCTTCAAGATTCATTTTAAATCCACTAAACTTCTCTGACTACTCTTCTGTCCTCCTTGCTGGTGGAGAGAAGTTCTCCTTTTCTGTTGCTACAGGTGTGTGTGTGTGTGTGTGTGTAGTGCATGTGATTACTTTTTAAAACACTACATATCAAGTTATAACTCTGCACAAATGCCTCCTTCTCAGTAGAACTGAGCCACTCAAAGGCAGGAGATAGATAGATTTGACTTATCTTTGTATCTCTGGTCCTTAGTACACACAGTGGGGCTTGGTACTTGCTATAGAAATTTCAGGCATGAAAATTTATAATTTATACTCACAAAGCTTATAATACAGAGGGAAAGATAAAACAGCCACAATAAGGAGATGCAATTAAAATGCACAAAGAGTTCAGAAGAAAGAAGTTTGCTTTGTGTGTAACTTTTGTCCCCCCAAGGGGAATGATCAACCAGAGGTGTACATTTAACAACAATGTATAAAATAGGTTGGCATAAAGGGACTGGAAAGAGAGTACTTAAGAGGCTCTTATAAATAAGAGGAGGAAGCTATAATGAGATTCAGAACTGGGATAGTGGCAATGGGAATGGAAGGAGACAAGTGTAAGAAACACATCAGAGTTAGAACTAGTACCTGTACCAATTCTTGGTAACTGATTAGAGGTAGAGGGAAGAAAAAGGCTGACTCAGAAGTTTTAAACTTGGGTAACTAGAACTGTGGCATCAAAAATAGAAACAGAAAAACCAAGATGAATTATAAGAGGAAAAGGCTGGAAGTCTGGGGTAAGATAGACAAGATTTGAGGGGCTGGTTGGACATCTGAGTCAAGATGTAAGTAGCTGGGAAGTAAAAATGATGCTAGGGAGTGAAGTCAAATTATGACTGCAGAGCTAACGGCCGAAGTGACAGGAATACACAAAATCACCTAAAGAAGTACTGCAAAGAAAAATAAGACCTACTAACTAAATCATGGAGAACATCTATTTTTAGGTAAAAATAGGAAAAGGAGACAGAGAAGGAAGAGGATGAGAACTGTAACACTGATACATCCTAAGAATCAAAGATGAAGAGGCTTTCATGAAAAAGGGAATAACTGACTGCAGTAAACGTTAGAGGTTAATGAGTCTGAATGTTTAAAAAGGGCAATCAAACTTGGTAGGTAATAGCATTAGAGAGAGGGGCAGGCACTAGACTGATGGAGTTCAAGCCTAGGCAATTGTTCACAAATTTTGAGACGGCTAGAACTGAGAGCTGTCAAAATTAATGAGGGTAGATTAACAGGGGTATCGAATGGACCCAGAGACAAGCTTGAAGCTCCCAGTGGACAAAGTGAAACAATTCAGTATCAAACAAGTATGCAAACAATTACTGCAATGAACTGAATAATCAATGAAATCACACAATGAATCAGTGAAAATTCATCAATTCATTATGACATTAAAAAGTTCTCAGAAGGATATATAAACTCATCTGCGGGTGCTTTTAATAGAACTCCCTGGGACTTCCTAGTGGTCGAGCAGCTGGGACTCCGCGGTCCCAAAGCAGGAGGTCCGGGTTTGATCCTGGTTGGGGAAGTGGATCCCACATACTGCAACTAAGAGTTCACATGCTGCAACTAAAGATCCCAAGTGTTGCAACGAAGACTGAAAAACCTAGTATGCTGCAACTGAAATATGGCATAGCCAAATAAATAAATAATTTTTAAAAAGAGAATTCCCCCAAATTAGTAATTGGAGGAAAAAAATCAAGCACTTAGCCTGTCTTTCCAGTGGGAATTGAAGTTTAGAGCAACTAATAAATAGCCCAGTTAATGACATGACAGAAAACTCCACTTTATAAAATGATGCCAGCTATAATTTTAAAAAAGGCAAAATTAAAAAAAACCAAAACTTTGCCATTCATAAAAGAATGATTCTAGCAAGGCTTATGAACTATTATTAAAGATCTTAAGAAAATGTCTGATGGGAAACTGGATATTTATATTACATATTTTCCAAAGATGGCCATGACAGTATTTCTCATCCTACAAACTTTTTGCAGTGTGACCTTGCTATTTTCTTATCAAGAGGTGACATATTTAATTCCCTTCCCCTTGAGTATGGGCTAGTATAAGTGACTTGCATATAATCAACAGAAAGTAGATGTGCTGAAGGTGACTTCCAAGGCTGGGTCAGAAAAGGCTATACTCTTTCACCCAGTTCTCTTGAAATTCTTGCATTTTATATGTTCTGGGAACCCAGCTGTCATGTTGTGAGAATCCCAAGCTATATGCAGGTGCACTAGTTCACATTCCCAGCCAAGTTCAGTCTTGAGTCTTCTGAGCTTACTTATCAGACATGTGAATAAAGGCTTCTTCAGAATCTCAGCATTTAGCCACTTTGGGTCACTTCCAACTGCTCAAGTCTCCCCAACTGAGACTCCAGACAATGTGGAACAGAGACAAAGCACACACACTGTACCTTATCTGAAATCCTGATCCACAGAATTTGTGAGAATAAAAATAATGTTAGACCATTACGTTTGGGATTATTTTACACATTAATAATTAGATCATGTTGTTAATTAAGTAATACCATATAGATTATTTCCTGGTTGTAAGAGGAAAACCTAATTTTAAATGAAGAGATCAGAACTAGATCAGGGATTAGAAACCACTAGTCTAATGGTCAATCTTAGCATCTCTAATGTTGAGTCAACCATACGTAACATATTTTTTGATGTGAAGCACATGAAGCAAGCACCACCTGTAATATTCTAGCCCAAATGTCTAAAGTGAATCTACTAAGCCTTTAGATATAGTCTCCAGTTTATCATAAACACAGGGGATAGAGAAACATGATAAATGACACAACAAGGAAGCAAACAAACAAACCTACAAAGTAGGATATTCAGGCTAACTGACCTGGTCATTTTAATAAGAGAGAGTTATAAAAACAAATACATAACAAAAACCAACTAACCAAACATCATCCCCACCAATAAAAGGGACCTGACCAGATGCAGTGTATAGTCCTGCATTAGACACCGGTTGGATAAACCAGCTATAAAGGACACTGCTGAATCAATTAAAGAAATCTGAATATAATTGTAGTATTAAATGAGAGAAAATACAATGAATGTAAGAATAGGTTATACATTAATAACTTAATTTTGTCTTTTTGGCAAAATATATATGCACACCTGGAAGGTTATTTACAAAGCTGTCATGGTGGAGCTATCAGGGTATGGAAATGTGGTATTTTTGTTTTCTCAATTTCTCTTCATTTTCTAACTTTCTATAATATAACCACACTACTTTTGTAATAAAAGTTGTTTTTTAAAAGTCCTGGGGGAAAGGAAGAAAGAGATGAGATGACAGGTTTCTGGGTTGGATGGCTGTGGTAGGGGCAAAAGACTAGAGAGCTAACATTCAAGAGAAATTTGTAATTAGAGGAGTAGTATACACTGGGTAGAGTGAAACTGAAGATGCAATAATAATACACAAAAATCCTCAGTTTATTACTAGTGTTTCTAAACTTAGAAAATAAAAGAAAAGGCAGGCTTGATAATGGTGATTTTTGGTGTTGGCTTAAAGCTCAACATTCAGAGAACTAAGATCATGGCATCCAGTCCCAGCACTTCATGGCAGATAGATGGGGAAACAGTGGAAACAGTGGTTGACTTTATTTTTCTGGGCTCCAAAATCACTGCAGATGGTGACTGCAGCCATGAAATTAAAAGACGCTTACTCCTTGGAAGGAAAGTTATGACCAACCTAGACAGCATGTTAAAAAGAAGAGACATTACTTTGCCAACAAAGGTCTGTCTGGTCAAGGCTATGGTTTTTCCAGTGGTCATATATGGATGTTAGAGTTGGACTATAAAGAAAGCTGAGTGCCGAAGAATTGATGCTTTTGAACTGTGGTGTTGGAGAAGACTCTTGAGAGTCCCTTGGACTGCAAGGAGATCCAACCAGTCCATCCTAAAGGAGATCAGTCCTGGGTGTTCATTGGAAGGACTGATG